TTGGCGCAAGCTGTGATGGCTGAGCTGAAGCTGAAGGGCTCCGCTGGCTCCGCCTGTTTCGTCCGTCGGCTTCGAAGCCATCGCGGCCGGAACAGGGGTGACTGGGGTGACTCGATTCGGTGCGAACCCGATTCGGTGGTTTCGATAGCGAACGGAAGACAAGTGGATGAGATTAGCTATTGTCATGTCCAAAATCGCTTCCTAGCCTGAATCTTTGGAAGAAGCAGCTTAAGCACATGTTTTTCATTGGCCTAAGCCAAACATATTATCTGGAGTTTACACAACACACGACATTTCATGTCTGACTTAAGAGCTCGCAACATGATGTCACAAAAGGATCTAGCTGGCAAACTGGAATTAGAAAGTAGCCTCGGATAGTTACCTGGATGTGTCGAATCATATAATCTAACGCCAAACTGTGTCAAACCGCTAAGCCTCTGTCCCTTGTCACAGCCCCAGGGCATAATATACAGTGCGTTGGCATTGTGTTTCGAGGGCAATCCCACCTGCGGCAAGCCCGAAAGCAATTCGCAGGCCAGTGTCCATTCTCCATCTTGCGCACAAGCATCAATGGCCTCAATGTCTGCAAGTGGCGGCAACGCCACGGGCATGAGGGACCAAAGCTCAATTGCTTCTCGCAACTTCTGTCACATTGTTCAAGGCATTTATGGATGAACAAAAAGGAACTCCTACCCTTCGTTGGCCTCCGATGAAATCATCAAACAACCCATACGCAAAAGGATACAAGAAGGGTTGCATAGATTCTTAGGTGACTGTGCTAAGTGCTTTGGAACAGGTGTGCAAAACATTGCCCTTCTTGGCAGCCCCACAAACTTGTCTGCTTCGTGTTCCGAATTCCAAGAGGCCCACAAAGCATCAGGGTACTTACTTTGCTACTGTTGACAAGTTCCTCAGATGCACCAAGAAACTTCTGATTAATTTCCAAAGCCGTTGGTCATCATGACCTCCGAACTTGTGGCTCCCGACATGCCCTGACTTCTTTCCCTTCCCAAAAATGCAATGACTCTTGATTGACTTAAGACAACATTTGGAGTGTTGTACAACCATGCAAAACCTCTATATATACCGGGGATTTATTCAACAAAAGTCTACATGATATACAAATTCAACCAAATTGATATATAATATTATATATATATATCTTATTGTATATTTATATACTTATACCATCACATTCCGCACGCGACTGCTCGCCGGAGTTGCTGAGGCCACTCCCACGGCGTCGCGACCGGTGCCCAGCGCCCGGCGCCAGGCGTGCCCAGCGGCAGCAGCGTTGAGGCCTCCAAACGCATCGCCGGAGCGCTGCGCTGGGGGATCAGCGTTCCAAAAAAAATGCTCAGGACTTATATAATGTGACCTGAAGGGCATCCCTGGTGGCTAGCGTTAGGCTACGTATGGCTAGGTGAGTTCATGGAGATGAATGTTGCTGGAAAGCTGGTGTACAATTTACGTTGGAGGTTTCACACAAGGCTTGAGTGCAAGCTTCCAAAATGTTGTATTCAGTATATATGTCAGTGCAAAGTGAACCCCATATTTTGTAAACTGATCTGAAAGACCATTACAGTTGTCTGCTCTAGCAACTACACAGCTATTCCGAATTCCCCGAAGAACATGCTTATCCAAACAACCTTGCCCCATCCTTCTCTTTGTCATGGCACAAATCATGTTCGGCTCCAGTTGAACTGACACCATCTGCTCCAGCACAAGCACAGCCGGCTCCCAAACACCTGGGCAAAAATCAATGGACATGCCAGCAGTTGAAATGAGTGTATGGCAGTGTGTACGAGCATAGGGAGACCCCCCAATCCATGACATCATTGATGCAGTTTGTTGGCTGAACAGTTTAACACAAATTGACCAACTCGTCACAGGCTGCAGTTTGTCGGCATGGCCGATCAAAGAATCTCTGACCCACTGCTCTCTGAGCTTGTTTCAGGATCTGCATGTACGAGGTACGAGGACCTTCTTTTTTGAAGACATTACTACTATATATATATAGTCATAATAACAAACAGAAGCGGAATGGAACGTGGAACAAACACCAGTGCTTGTATGTTTTTGACCCTTCTGCGAGCCGCTTTCTTCCACTGAGGTTTTGGGACATTCTACCACCTTGCAGCACCTCAAGCCCCTGAGGTCAAGCCTTGAGGTCAAGCCCCTGAGGCTTGGTGGTGCCCCTCAGCGCCTTCGCTCAGCGCAGTGCTTCGAGCATTGACGGATCCTTTATGCAGCCCAAGTGCCGGCCATAGAAGAGACCTTCAAGATAGAACCTGCAATCACAGAACTTGCTGAAGTCATCACAATGCTTAGTAGTGTCCTTTGCGCCTGATTTAGCTTTCTGCAGGTGCAAAGCTTTCTTAGGCTAGCTAGCAATCTGGACCTTGTGAGTGAATAGCCCAAAAAGCAATCGAGCTCATCTTCCGACCACCAGCAAGTCAACAACTCCTCAAACAAATTTAAAACTTATTCAACAAAAAACACTCTTCCACCGACAACAGACAGATCAAGCGTTCTCCCTGCGCGCCGTATGTCACCAGATCCGCGTCGAGCTCATGGAGCTTCTCATTTGCCCGACGCCAGGGCAGGCTTCCAAGAGCCACGTTTGTCGCCATCCTTGGTGTGTTGAGTGGCTTTTTCAGACCAGGTGAGATGAAACAGGTCGGACAACATAGTGGTTGCAGGGTGTTTGGTATGAACGGTTACAGTATAGACATGGATGATCATAGATGAGTATGCAGTACGTAAAACCTAAGAGTGCTGGTTTGTGAACGGCATGGATAGGGTCAACTATACGAGTCATAGAGCATTCACGAGTATTCCAGCATGGAACTAACTCACCGACTCACCCAGCACAAGCTTCAAATCCAGTTCGGACCGGCATCGAAGGCACTCCTGCAGTGAAGGCCATATATTAAGAAAACTGGAAACTTTGTATGTTGCGAGCTTTAGTCAATCTGTGATCGAAATTGTCTCTTGCTGTTGTGACCACTTGCATGTTTCTACATGTTAGGGTGCATTTGACTGCATGTCGATCTTCCGTCAACACCTTTGGCACGCTGCTTCAGCCGCCGAACTAAGAAACTCTAAACAGTGCTAGTTTGAGGAGATACATGAAGATATTATATAACGTGTAACAATCGTAAACTGCCACAGCTCGTCTCCATTTCAACAGACGCCGCAGGGGCAACCCCTTGATTCATTTTGGCAGGCAACGCTCCTGTAACGTTGAAAGAACCAGCTGCCACTGCTCACCCCCACTGAAGGCGCTTAACCTCAGACCTCAGGTGGTCGAAATCATCAAAGTTCAGATTTGTTCGGACCGAGTCTAAGACCATATTATGGATATGATGTGATGGTAGACCTCATTATCATATGACATATCTTTGGAATCTATCCGACTCTCCATCATATTCATGACATCAAAATCTCGTTGGCGTGGTTCCACACCGATCGCGACGATGGCGATGAACTCAAGACGCGATTCGTTCAACAAATAAGGGGCGATGAACTCACACAGGCTGCAGGCTCATTGGAAAAGACCAACGTTTCCCCATGAACTCCCCACAGCCTACTACCTCCCAAATACTTCTGCCCAGAGGCTGGGAGGGACGTGTGCCTGGCAGTTGGCAAAAAGTGAGGTCAAAGAATGCACCTCTGTGAACATGTACAGGTGAAATGGGAGTTCATGGGCAATCAACATTCACAATCTGCTGGGTCGATCTATTATCTTGTAGGTATTGCCTCTCATCTCGAGATGTTGGCAATCAGCAAATGGCTTTCAAAACAGCATCAATAAAGTCTATAGGGACTCAACAAGTTTGTTCTGGGCCCTGTCCTTAGATTGTCGTCTGAAGGCCGATACACATGTACAAAAGGGACAGAACTATATACATTTGGCATCAAGGCCCATGTGATTATCGTAGTTAGACAACTAAGTTTTACTGCACTGAGTACATGCTTCAGGAGGAATAAAGTTTGGTAGTAACTTCAATTGAGAATGTCATTGCTCTTTCACAATGAATTCCGGCGGATTAATCTCCACCCCGAACTATATAACTTACAATAATTACTATAGATTTACTTGGGTAAATTCATCCTCCGTCATTCCCCTGTGATCCCCTGTAGGATTCTAAAGGGAACGGGTTGTGGTTTATGTACTCACAAGCTGGCTGTGTATACAGTATATATATAATATGATTATATAATGTCCAAGTGGTACAGCAGCCAGCACAGAAAGCATGGTATAGGTATGTATAGTTTTGAATCTTGAATGGTTTCCAACACCTCGCAGTGATTCCTTTGGATCATCTCCCACACCTGGCTGGCTCACCGCCCAGGGAGGGGCTCCGCTTGGGGCAGAACATGACCCAGTCGTTTAGGTCGTTTAGGTCAATGGCAGTCATTACACATGGTACACTGATGAAGCTTCAAGAATGAACAATGTTCTTAGGGAGGTTTCCAGTTTTGGAGCATTGCGTATTCCCTCGTGGCCACTGACCGGAGGCTTGGCCAGGGTGGGCTCATGGCCCTTGGACGAAGCAATGAGGGAACGATCAGCTAAGGCTAAGGCCCCGTGAGGGAAACACTTCCGTGCAGCGCGCAATCGCCTTTCTTGGATGCAACTATTGGTCAGTGCTGCACTTGGCAGCAGGCTAATCTCGCAATTCAATTGTTCAAGACGAATGGCGGGTGCCATCAAAACTGATCGCCAACGGCTGTCCACTGATTTAACAGTGGTCAAAATATGCAGTCGCCAAACAGGCAGTTTATCAACAAGAGCCATGGGATTGTTTGAGTGAGGCAGGGGGGGCGACTACCCAGCTTGGGGCTGTGGACCAATGAGGCTTTGTGAGGCTGGATAGGTAGTCTCCCCTGTCCCTCCCAAAGTCACCCCATGAATAAGGGTTCCGCACTTAAGGGACCCACTTGAGCAACACACAGAATCTGACAAGCAAAATATGCACCCACAGTGGCACATTCGGGCGATGTCAGGGTCCAACAAGTGATGATCCCTCAATAAGGTGGCCAATGGGTGGCCGTTTCAAACGGCAACTGGCCTCAGTAAAGTAACGTTAAAATCACGGGTCGTTCATTGAGGAGCCAAAGGCATCAAAGGCCGGCATAGGTCCATCATGATCCATCCAACAGTTCCATTCCAAGTGATCAAACAAAAGCACAGGACTCGATGAAACCCTCACATGAAACCAACCCGCTACTCATCTTCGTATGGCATCTCATTGGGCATGAGCTGCCGGTATGGCGGTCGCAGAAGCCGGTTCTCCGGTTCATCTGCGGCCAGCTCAGCTGCAGTGACTTCAGACTTCAACCTCAGTGGGATCGTGTCCTGACCTTTTAGAAGGCGAAACATGGCGAAACCATATTTATGAGGCCGACAAAAGAAGGACAAAAGAGATAAAACACTCAGTGAAATCAGCAATCATCGCCACCATCTACGTGTCAGCATCCTCCCAGCCACTCACCCCCATTCAGCCAATCACCTCTGTCCCTTCCCGCGAGCAACGAGTCGAAACCACTCAGCGGCATGGGAGCTGTTCCCCTCAAGGGACCAGTGCCAAAACGCTTGTCCTCACAGAGGAAGGGAAGCTTCCCGACAAAAAAGGGCACCAACAAAAGACCCGCCTGCCATGCTGCTGAAGGCAAGTTTAGCCACAAACCGTCCTTCATCTGTCCACTCATTTGGTGTCTCCGAACGGTTTCAACCCTCTGTTCAAACGTTCAGCCTCCCATGTCACCGAACAGGCAAGCAATGACGAGTGCGTCACCGCGTATCACGTGTCCTCCTTGCCAGGAGAGACATCCTCTTCACCCAGGGCGGCCTGTGCAGGGGCGGAATCGAAACCGGGGCGGCCCAAAATACCGATGGAAGGAACATGCGCACACACCTGGCACTATCAGGAACACTCAAAACCGATGCATTGATATACACACCGTGTATTTAGTACGTGCATTTAGTATTGTAGGTGATGTAGGATGTCTTCCATCAACAACAGTAACCTGAACCCACACTGCCTTCATCTTCCTTGATTGTTTGTCCTATTGGTAAACGGAAAAAACTCGCCACCAGGAAATTACAAGGGCTGTTTTATGCTGTGGTAGGATTCCCATTTTGTTTCATCAGTTCACTTTCTTCGCAATCGTCTTGCGGCGGCCGGGCCGGCGGGGCACGAATTTCGTGCCTTGGCGTCCTTTATGCTGTTCCCCTCCACACCCGCTTCGTCGGTGTTGGGGATGCGGATGGGGCTTTGTCTCATTCGCTCGCCCGTGGAAAAGTTGTGGTAGTACTTCCTCAAAGGATGGCAGGCTAAAGCTCATCTCAATGCCCCTGCGCAGATTATATAACTATATATATATATCTTTCCTTGGGGAAAGGGGACCAAAACTGCTATCAAGCATCGAGATGCATTCACATCCATACTGTGATTTGAGCAAACATCCCACATGCCGATCCCTGGATTGAGACTGTGGAGCTGGCATGTTGGTGTGCTCCTTTTGCACCAAGCTAGTGTTGACTTGTCGGACGTGCAATGGCTACAGCAACCACACCACCAATATCCACCAATTGTTTGTTCCATCAGCTTCCAGGGCCTCCAGGAAAACTGAGGCTGGTTCGTTGATACTTGAGTAATTGACAGTTAGCCCACGCCTGCTTGCACCATGGCCTTTCTGCCAAGTCGCACTCCCCGAGCATCATAGAACGGATGCCAATCGGTGCTTAGCACTGACTCGTAGGCACTGTCGTCCAAAACGGGAAGGTCTTCCTAGCAGCTTCAATCTCTCCCCATCGAAGCTTATCTTTAAAACTTGTACTGAGAGTACATTCCCGAGTGACTTCCAAATGTGATACATAAAAGCCGCAAGCCTTGATCTTCTCCGGGGCTTCTATCTAAGAACCATTTGCCGCATAGTTGTCACTGTTGCTTCATATTTCATTCCCCATAGGTTCGCTGGGTTTGTCGCGCGGCAACAAGTGCCACAGGGCAAGACTCTTAACGCGGCGGTGAATCTGTCTGCTATGAAGCACGTCTTCTGCCAAAACAGTGGGCTTGGATGGATTTTGGCAGATTTCCAGAGGGTCTAGGTCTAGATCAGTCTCTTATGGGCATACCTTGAGGCCCCCATATAGTAATTTTCTATGGATGCTTTTCATCCTCACTCACAAGTCAACTGCTCAACTCAAACCATCAGCTCACCGTCACATCTTTCGTTTCCAGGACCGTTGCTCGAGACAAAACCAACAAAAACTGTGGTCGGTGGGCTACCGCAGTGTGTCCTCTGTTGCTTAATTGTGTGCTCAATGGTTTTAGTTATAATATGTTTTAATGCATCCTTGCGTCTGGTAGAACTTTGCTCGATTCAACTCTCTGCTTTGCCATAGCGGCATATCCTGGGCCAACACTCTTCACGTACATGAGGACAACCAAAGGGAAGCCAGCTCTACAGACTCCGCAGTGACCCTTGGAACATGATTGTCCGCAACATGGGAATGGAAATCTTCAGCATAATGTAGATTTTGTCCCGAATCTTTTGGGTAGATCCTGGCATTGCACATATATCAAGCTGTCCAAGAGACTGTTGTACTGTTCCACATAGTTGATGCGCCTGGGTTGGTTTTCCTTGCCATCTCTGGGTAGCATCTTGATGTGCTTCATTGCGTAGCACTTGTGACCTGCAGCTTTGAACGCACTATGCAGAACAGGCCAGTAGATAAATCCATTCACATGTGCATATATTGTCAACAGGAAATCTGACTTTATGTGTGACATCCCAGTAAAAGCATGATTCACCTGGCAGCGACTCTATGTAGTTTGAACAAAAACAAATCAACAACACGTTCAAAAGCAGGACAACCACACCTCTGGCACCGTTTATGGGAAACTCTGGCTTGACCAATGTCTTTTCATGACCGGCGATTTGGAGACGTTCACGTCCCCCCCCTCGGATGGAATACGCCACCAAAGGGCACAGCGACTTGTCCGTGAAGGTGCAATGGATCTTCGCCTGGGAATCATATTGCGACCTAAAAGAGGGTATCTATATAAAAGGGCATGTCAAGAAACATGTATTGTGGCCTACGTAGCGAGTCTATTTGGGATCACAACAACTTTTCGAGGCACGTGTCCTTATCAGCGTTCAAATTGTTACGAGCAACATAGGTTTCACTGTTCAAGAGGTCCTTGTGTCACATCAAACTTCTTCAACAGTGCCGTCTTGTTTGCCTGAATTGTTGGTATCTAAACTGCTCGCATCAGCTCCATCAATAAGGGAGGTCAAGTGGCTCTGTGTGCGGCCAAGGAACGGGCAGGACCACACAAAGCGCACAGGGGACCAAGCAGAAGGGTGCATGAGACTTGCGGAAGCCCTTACTGTGCAGGTCACTGTAGCACTTCAAGCACAGGTAGTCCTGCGGGTTCGTGCTGCCCTCAATCTTGGAAGATGAAGTATTCAATCAATATCCCTGAAACATAGAGGTCTCAAACAATAGACGTGATGTCACACATCGATGTTAAACTGTTGAACTGTCCCATCATTCTGAACGATGTAATGTGAATTTCCAGGCATCTCAAATGGACTCAGGGCTAGTTGGGGGTTGCTGCCATTGAAGTCCATGGCCGCTCAAAAGCCCACAGCACTCGATGCACAACATCGGAGAGATACTGCAATCAGCAAGCTGGAGGAAAAATATCTCTGTCCAGCTGGAGTCATCAGTTCTTCATTGAAACAAGAAACAGTGAGGAAGAAACTAAGGTTTCCAGTTTCCAACCTTTTGAACTGTGTGGGATGAGTTTGTGATCACCGTCCTTGCATTCCAAGCAAAAGCTAAGTGCTGTTGCTTCGCAATTCACGCAGTTCACCTCTCCTGTTCGCCGGAGGAGGCTGAATATGCTGCGAGGTCGACGCAGCTTGACGGCACTTAAGCAACTGTCTGCTCAAACAAGAATGTTGCAACAACCCCCCAAAAAAGAGTCCCTGAATGCAACGGACCTTCACCCTGAAATTTTTCACACTGAGGAAGGTGTAACGAGTGGTTGTAGTTGAGGCAAACCCTGAACAGTGCACATGCGCCTCGAGATAGCAAGTTGAGATTAAACTTAACTTCTTCCTTCACGGCTCCTGGCGAAAAGCAGTGATTCGTTGCGATCTATAGCAATGCTCTGGAAGTACAGCTCATATGTGGTATCCGGGATGCAACACAAACAGGTACACAGCATGTTGCTTGACCCGGTCAAAACATGCAACAGCAAAGCAAAGCAAACAAGCGTTTTTGTTGATTCAAGTTAGAAGAAGGAAAACAAGTATACTAAGACGATATACTGAGTACACAGTTCAAACAACTGGAAAAGCTTCATCTTCTTGATGTTCATTGGTTGCATGTTCAAGCAGGCCTGACCAATGTAGCACCATCTCTTCGTACTTCTCCAAATCGCGTTGGAGCATTTCATTGCATTCGCGAATTAAGTTGATGTCCACATCCTGAAGTTGGGTAAGCTCGCGAATTGAGTGCAAGTGCTACAGAAATTGTTGCCTTTTGAATCCTTTGTAAACCTGCAAGCCTCCTGGAGTGATATGCAAACATGTCCAGCTCACAGCGATCGCTCCTGAGTGCGGCGGTACTCTTTGGCAAAGGCCTTCAGCTGGGCCTTGCAGTTCCGCACCACACAGCCTGGTGCCAGCCGATTGGGCATGTCTCGCAGCCCTTTCGTTCTTAACGTCTATTGATAGGATATATTTGGTTACTGTATCTTGAATCTTGAGTTTGTGCTTTGTCGGCAGTTTGACTTCCCTTTTGGCACACTTTCACCTAGGACCTAGAGTCTTGCCATTCGGAGGAGCACCCCCCCACCCCGCGGGATGCCCTCCCTCCGGTCTGACCGGCACCCACATCACGTCAACGCGCGACATGCGCTCCTTGGGTCTTGACATCAAAACCGAAGATCTCGCCCAATCGCGCAACGTACATGGGAGAGATCAAGGGCTCCTGGAAATCATACTGAGACGGGAGAACATCTGGAGCAAAACGGAGCAAACTAAAGATGCAAGAGTGTCTTGTTTCTTCGCAGGTTGCAGTCTTTGAGCCTTTTTTTGTGTTGTTACATTTGTTTAGCACATAAAGACAGTGAAGCTCTTCAGAACAAAATCACTGGATTGCTCACGGCAGCAGCATGAGAAATAAACAGAAAGGATCGAAAACGCCAGCATCACTACGACAATCAAAAACAACACTTTGGTTGCTGTGCTATGTTCGCCCATGGGTGACCCGACACACCTGGATTTGCAGGGCAACACGGTCTTGCTGGTCACTATTTCACTCTGCAAGCATTCCCGGTCATGTAGTCTGTCTGATTGCAGCCGGGGGACAAGTTGGTTATAGTTATATATAGAAATTTACAGAGTGCTTGCACATCTGAGGTTCGCAAATTCAGACGTGATCTAATCTTCAGCAAGGAAATGACATTGTGAGACTGTGCAGCCTGCAGGAGGACAACGTCCCTAAGTCCCTAAGAGTCAATCCTACTGGTCCTCAGAAAACAGGCAGTTCCTGAGGGTTCCGCACTAGATTCTTGGCGCGAATCTTTGACCAACACATAGCAAATCATAGCAAAAAGCTGGTAACATCCAGTCTGCATTAATCCTCCGTCCTGGTCGTGCTCTGCCTCTACTCGAGTGGCCTCATAGCCTCAGGTCATGGGGTTCCAGCTTCACATCTCTTTCCCTCACATTTGGGCAAAGTAAGACAAACATGGTCTATATGTTGGCCCATATCTGTGGCAGTTAACACTAGTCATAAAGTATCCAGCCAAGCAAAAGTGAGGCCTTCCAAGCAAAGCCACAAAACAACTAGAAATATGTCTCAGGTTTGAGCTCCCTAAAGCTTGCGGAATCACTCGACAAATCTTCGACCCAGCTGGCCAAGGTACTCCAAAGGAGACGATTGCACCGAACTTGCATCACCTGGCTAGTTCACGATACTCATCCAACAGCCCAGCTCATCTAGACACTCATATAGATGGAAGAACTCGGACCCTCCCAGCCCAGCCTCATCACGGGTGGCTTGGCGACAGAACTCCCGCAGCTGACGGAAGTAGTCGTAGAAAGGATGCTTCCAGGTCACCTGCGGATTCCGAAGAGAAGCCGGGTAATTACTTGGGAATGGCCTCGCCAGCTTCATCGAGTAAGTGAAAAGGCATCGCACCAGAACGATGTATTTGTTTCACCAACAACAGGTTCTATAGTAACTGTGTGATATGTTATATAATATATGATTGATATGTTGGTTTGGGACATTTTGGTAACACATGTAACACCATGTAACACCAGCTGTTAAGAAGTGAATCAGGACGATCGAGAGCGGGGTTACGTTGAGATCCTGCCCTGGATGCGCATCCAGAAGCCTGCAGTGACAACCATTGATCTTTGGCATAACAAACATCAGGGACTGAATGGGACTGAGGTTTGGTCACGTGGGCAAAATTGAAGCTAACATGAGCTGTATCATGCACTCAGCCATCGTACCTGGCCAGTGTCTGCTCTCAAATAGCATACGATGCTGCCAATGCCTTTGTAGCCTGAGTCGCAAGTCGAGTTATCAGCGACATGTATTGACCACAAGGTATCACAAAGTCTCATTGACGATGAACTCTTAAATTCCACAGCTTCCCTCACCCTGCTGCCATCCTACCTTACCCAATCTTGCCCAACCCTAGCTACTGGAAACTGTAACCCCTCCAACCTGGAGCTTCACCCACAACGAAAAGTTGCAGTTCCACAATCCCCTGACCAGCAGCTTCACATGCTTTCATGCGGTTTCACCCTTGCACTGAGCAAAGCAAGCATGGCGTGGTCGTCTATTTGCGGCTCCAAGAACATGTCCATGGCTTGGGGAGATCGGTCTCCAACATGGCATTGACCAACCAAAGCATCTCCTGGACAGATTTGTGTTCAAGGATTGAGGGAGCTGTGTGCGGGGGGGACGAATCCCGAGTTCCTAGTCCTAAACGCTAGTAATTACAGAGACAATGTGCTTTAATTAGGGTGGCCATTCAGGAATATGGACTTGGGTGATTGGCAGTTAGGGAAGGAATTAGCAGGATCTTGGCATATTGCAGGCTGGATAAGCTTCCCAACTGGGCAAAAGCTCACTGAAACGCTTATTTGTTCCCTGGCACCAGTACTTGAAACAGCTTCTGAAATAAATCCGGCACAACGCACTAGCAAGTCTATTGAAAGGCACCGATCATAGGCATTACATCCAGGTCCATATTCATCACGAATGGACTTGCGGTGTCCACGTCTGCTGACAGCTGGAAAGGCGCCACCCAGCTATATACAGGATCATGCCGAATCATGCTCTTCAAATTATGTTTTGAGGTGGTCAAGTCATCAAATCGAAAGTCTCGAAATCAGCTTCGCATCTTGCTGGTTGAGAAGTTGAGATGTGATTCTTTGACAACATGTCCTTGTCAGATGGCTCTATTCGTAGGTAGTAGGCCTCAGCAGCCAGCTATCAGACTCTAAAGTGAGAGAAGAGTCTGACTCTTCCTGTGGAGTCAAACTCATGCTCATGTGTGCGCTGTTGAACAAGAACTTCTGTGCTGGCCTTTCCACCTTTGACCACCTTCTTTCAGGGTCAACTTGCACGATCCTTCTATTTGTTTGGATTGGTGTGCTTTTACGCGGAATCGAGGCAAGCTCCAGTGATGCTGTCAAGATACCCACTCGTCCAAGGTAGGAACCTGGGTGATTCTGGAAAGAAGTCAGCAAATGGGTTCGCCTTCAATCAACACATGCACACCACTAGCAACCTAGCATATATAGAGCAGAGGGAATCAAAAGCGTCAAAAAATGTTATGTAAATACTGTAGTTATAGTAAGGGGAGCTCATCCACACAACCCACAGAAGCCCAAGCTTGAGCGATTCGGATCCAGCTTGGTGCATGATAACAACATAGTTCAGTAGGAAAAGTAACAGAACTGAGAAATCTTGCCGCTTATGTACATCCATGACACACAACCAAATGACCTCACGATGCATGACGCGTCAATGCTGAAGCACCAGACTCTAAGCTCAAACCAATCAGGCAACTGTGTTGGGATGCCCATGATCCCCGGTCATGGTCAAACAACAAACAACTTCTAAGAAACCTGGCACTGTATATGAGGCCTTTCTGTCCTTTGGCATCCCTCGACCCTGAGGCGAGAAGCGGTTCCATCACACAGCAGCGCTGGAAATTTATCCAGCTTCGCGAGAGCTTGTTGAGTCAAGGGATCGTCGATCCCAAAAAGTACGAAGGGATCTGCATCAAGATACTCCAAGGTCTCCTGCAGTCAAACAATTCGCTCTTGCGGCAGCACATCATCGGGTTTCATAAAAGAACATGCTTATGAATGTGAGCACGTATGCAGTATGTTTGTACAAGGTTCATGTGTTGTTGTTGATGCACGTGAGATTTTATGTTTAAATTTTGTGCTCGCTATTTTTCGTAAACCGTGACGACCACTGTAATCATTATATATATATATATATGTATATACACCCTCAAAGTCCCAAAGGCCTCGCTCAGGAGGCCTCGCTTCTCCAGGTGTCCCAGGGCATTCATCCAAAGATCATCAAAGTCTTTGTACCTCAAAGCAACGTTCGCATCGATGCAGTGGCTATGCATGGCGGCAAGGATGCCTGGCGTGTTTTTTTTTCCGCCAAGTCACCAGCCATCACTGAGACTGTCCAGTGGCGGGATTACTTCCTGATCGAAGTGGCAGGAACAAGGGAGATTCTCTGATGAGCTATGGATCTGGGCAGGTCGGCAAGCGTGATGTCAAATTCCAAGCCGCACATGGATGAAAAGCACCTATGGCCACTAGCCCCAACTCGGTGGATCGCATACGACCGGACCGGGCCTTCTCCGCGGTCCAGCTGATCTGGAATTGCGGTCCCACTGGCCAGCCTTCCATATCGGTCCCGCCATAGCCTTGAGACCGGGGAAGTGATGTGAGGATTTGGGCTTTGGGTTGGTGGTTTGTATTTCCAAGGCAATGAGAGGAGTGAGTAGAGAAGAAGTCATGCAAACAACGAAACGATCGAAACATCCTTGCATGTAGGAAAGGTTAGCTGGCTCATGTTGGCTCATGGCTGGTGTAAGGAAAATATGCTTTTGTTTTTGTAAGTTGTTTCATCTTAGATGAGTATTAGGCAGGTCACCCTTAATTATAATACTGATACTCATGTTCCAGAATATCCATATCAATGTTAATTTAGTATTCATCCAAAATGATCCATAATTAGCCCAAATACCCAGTCCAAAGCCACAATTGTAATATTCAGTTGTCAACCCCCCCAAAAAAAATGTACACACACATGTGTCAGACATGAACAAACATGAAAGCAGCATGAAAGCAAAACGAAAGCAAATGAACTCCAGGGATTATAATTAAGAATACATTACTTTAAGAACATGTCGAGGGGGTGGGCTGCCACCAAATATGGATCTCACATTATGGCTGGATTGTCTGTGTCACAGTCGCAGTTGGTTTGTTCACCAATCGCAGAGCGTCATGAGCCCACGCTTCCAACGTTCATGTCAGCTAAACTTTGAGTCATTCGCGAGTGCAGGATACCACAACCACAGCAAAGGCTTGGTCCAAAACTGAAAGGGAGATTCACCTCGAAATTGAAGCCTCCGGCCTCCCCGCTATCCTGATGAACTCATCACTGGATATAGAACATAATACTTGGACAAGAGCAAAATGTCTGACAAATATATGGGAACATTGGTTCCTCATCCTCAATCCCGAACCCATCTGAACCAATCTCCAATCAATGAGAACGAAGTGGCGTGTCTCCAAGTACATCGGTTGGCCCTCGTCCTGGAGCCCAGTGGACAGGTTTGAGGTAACTCTCCTTGTTTTCAGAGTTTCCTTTTGCATTATCAATACTATAACTGGGAATGCTGTATTAGACGTGACATGTCAATGTGTTTGGCCATCATGTTAGATGTAAGCACACTTGATAGTTTCAAGTGGCCACCTGTGACTAACTAAGTGCCTGTTTGAAAAGCTTGCGTGTAAATGGTCATGAGCTGAAGCTCGTGTCCTTAGACCTTTGCTTGAAAACATGCTGGCTGGACCGAGTGTGAGAATGAGATCCCTTGTACCCCACAGACCGTGTAAAGCAAGGAGCGGCCAAGGAGCGGTAGCTGCTGCAAAAGTGTGGAGATACGATCGTATGCAAATCATGTGCGATTGTCTGCTTGTTTTTTTTTTGCATTGACTTGTTCAGGCATCCTTGAAGGAAAACGACCCAAATCTACGAAGAGCCATGCCAGCTACCTGGTACCAACAATATTACTTTTCTTGTCCCGGAAAGCAGAACATGCAAAACCATTTTATAACAATTATATATCATTTTATGGAAGGGACCCTGTTTGTGGCTGAAGGTCTGCTTGTTCTGGGCAGAGTTCCTATTATCAGCAGCAAATGCAGTAACTTGAATCGAAACGACTTGATCCAACCCTCTCCTTTTCTCAAGCTAAGCAAAACCTTGTGGCATCAGCATCCCTGCAGCAAAAGGTCTAGGATGTAGTACACATATGTACACATATCATATTTTCCTAGAACATCCTAGAACTCTATAGAACTCTACTCTATAGCCTATAGCTATACTAGAATCTGCGGAACATCCTCACCGGTCCAGCAGCATCATGGAGTAGAAGCCAATGGGGATTACTCCCCGTGAGACTCGAAGGTCGGCCCGCTGATGCAAATAGGCATACCTCACTCAGCCCGTCGTCTACGTCGTGTCCCGCGAGACAGCCGGTCGCAGGACGCAACGGGTGATGCCGCGAATTAACAAAGCGAGTGATGCCACCTACAGAAAGCTGACCTCTGAAAGAAGATACGCATAAAATCGGACCAAACAAGATCTGCCGTAATCAGGGAGGTGTCCACACCTTTGAGGGTGAAAAAACCGCGAAAGACAGGCGAAACCGACAGCACAAGGCCTTAAAAGGACCTGACATGGAGTTGGCAGGGTCTCGGAGGTCGAGACCTTCCCTCTTAGCATGGTTGGGCAGTCAAACACGGCGGTCAAGAGAAAACCATAGTGGCCTATAGTGGCCTATACAGTAGTGTATGCTCATATGGATTCATATAGGTGTATTTCGTTATGTTCGAAGAATGCCCAACCGGACATGTGTAAATCGAGTTTGTGCAATCCAATCCAGTAAGTTCCTCCATGTTGCTCCTCCAAGCTTTTGGGTCTATATGCAGCTTTGTGAGCTGCAAGGTGTGCAAAGAAAAACCACTAAGGCCAAAGAGCGACCAGAAAGACTTACCACCCAAACCCGAGGCTGTTGTTTCCATTTGCTGTCAAGGCCCTGATGGCGCGTCCCAGACCAAGCTGGTTGATGCTTGTCAATAGATAGCGAATCGTCCCCTTTCAGTATATTATATATTATATATTATATTGTCGTTGCACTTTCAGTGAGAGACCATGAGAGACCAGTAACTCCATGCCCTCAGCAAGCCTACATGATGATCACCTCAAGGGTTTGCGGCAAACGTTCCGTTCAGCGCTAATCAGCTCGAGCTACAACTTGGCCTCACGCTCAGTGGGCGCTTTATAGGTTGTCCCAAATCTCACCACCTGAGACCGCGTGCGTCGTGGCGACCTCGACCGTTCATATCCGGACCACGTCCACAGACTGACCACGACTCGGCCAAACTTCTGGATTCTTTTGTGGCTTCTCGATAAAAGGAAATCAAAGGAAATCAAAGGAATATCCTGAAGACAGTCTCCGCTTCCACTGATCGATTCCTTGTGTGATTGCAAAGAAAAAAATGTCCTGTTACTCTCACCCATGCTCACCCTGCCAACATGGAAGTCTAACAACTCTCTACCCAGAGACAGCGCCAGGCGCCTTGTGGCGGGTTTCAATGTGCGTCTTGGGCATGTGAGCATTGATGGCTGGCTTGGCGGCCGCCATGGCGGGCGGAAGATCTGCGAGATACCCGGCCTGACGTTTGAGCCTCGTGATAGCGAGCCAAGCTGTGATTAGCAAGCTCGAGAGCTGCAAGCAGTACTGGAAAGTAGGTTGCAATAGCAACCGATGACATAGGTTTATGTTTGGCCCCGAATGATGACCTATATAAGTGTTCTTGGCGCATGGGTATCTCGCATCTCATCATGGCCCAGCATGTTGTTTGAGCAAACTCTGACGATCAGCGCACGATGGGGTCAGCAGCGCAAAAGCAAAGATACAGGTGCCCATGGTGAGATCCTGATACTAACTTTGTGGTTGGAATGCTTCCAATGAAGGACCCCAAGCGATTTAAGCAAACAGGCAGGCTTCCGTACTCTTATTAGCTTGCAAACGCAAGATGCTTGTGCTCAATGCAAGGACTTTCTGCCAAATAAACATACTAACTCGAGCACACACGTGAACAAAGACGCCCAACCAATCAGAATTTCGAGGTCTCGCCTGCAAAGAGATACCACGACACCAATGCGAGGCTCTAATCCTCAAGCCAAGGCTGAGCTTCTTGCTATCCCTTTTCAGCTGCTTGGTCTATCCACCACACTACCATGCACCTCTGGACCACCCATGAGCGACCTCCCACCAATAGAATCTATTTCTATGCGACAGGTGTTCTCCGGTGTCAAGTCCTTTGGAGTTCTCACAGAAGTGTAAGTGTCCTTTGGAGTCCAATGATCCCTTCAACATCAGTATCTGAATCCAGGAAATCCAGCTTCCCAAAACTTCAGCCAGGTCACATTGCGGTGTTCAAAGTTGTGCAAGCTGTGATGCCGACAGACACCTCTGTTTCCTTCCAAGCAGCAGAAAAACCAACACGGGTACCACTCCAAGACCAGTAGTGCCAATCCACACAAACTCACCGAACCACACAACTTCTGCCAGTCCTTTGAAATCCACTCAAAGAGCTGCTCTGCAAGTCTCCTGAGCGCTACACACTGCAACGACGTCGGCTGCAGCTACTGAAGCTGTCAACTTGTTAAGCGTGAGACTCGTGAGATCCTAAGATCTAAGATCCAGTAAGAACCCCTGCTACAACTCAGGTAGATCAAACATGTCTAGACTCCAAATTCCAGGGCATTTGATCTTACCCGTGGCAATGGATCGAACACGTACCAGTCAAAACTATAGAAATATGAAAACATATGCATACACTTCTCTCAAACACTAAACACACTAAGCTTCCAAAGACAATGCTGAAGTTGCCAAGCAATGCCAAGCATGAAGCCGGGAAAAGGGTCGTGCTTCTGTCAAACCCCTACTCCCAGCCATGTGATCCAACATGATTCAACCCACTTTGTGAGAAGCTCGTAGATACAGCCGATCTTGATGAGTGTCCATTGGTTCGCAAGGGCATTGAGCTGAATGTTGTAGAAGGGTGAGTCCTTGGCCACTCCTGGCTGTGGAAGCCAGGCTTGGCAAAAAGTTTCACCAACATGTGGTGCACCCAAATCCATTAGCATGATCTAACAAATCCTCTAGGCCCTACATGAATCCGACCAAACCAACGACGATATCCAAAACAAATCCAATATCCATAGGATTTGGTGACTTTTTTCTTCGACCTGACAACTCCAATTCTTCACGAAGGATTGGAACCACTTGCGCTCCTTCTCCCAGTTGCACAGCATGCTGCCATTCGCCTGCTTTACCACATGCATCACTGCAGCTACCTGCGAGCTGGTACAGGGAGAGATTCCAACGCTAGTTACTAGTTCCAAAAGTGGACAAAGTGAGAACACAAGCAAGCTGGGATCCAAAAGGTGATTTGCGGCTTTTCTCAGGAGACGTGACCCATTATGCACTGATGAAGCAAACAATTCACTTTCACTGACTTCTCGGATTGCTTCTTTATACAAACAAATGTAGACCCTTGGCATGAGGGTTGAACCTGAGTCCAAGCATGTCCCAGCCAAGCAAAAACGAAAATCAAAGAAGGCTTCAAAACAACACCAAAATCAGGCAGGTTCGGTTTTTGCAGCAGCTTCACTGCTGACAGTCTCATTTCACAACATTAACATGTCCGTTTCGGAAAACCTGCTTCCGAGCTGCTGAGACCTATGACGTCCACCTCATCCAAGGTGAGAACGGCCTGGAGCTCGGCGGTCGGAACCGCCGCGGCCGTGCGGAAGCTCTGAAACTGAACAAGACTCCAACCCAAAGTGTTTGAGTATTGTTTGACATATCTTTACTTGGTCTTCCAATGAAGAAGGTTCAATCCTGTGGAAAGTCGATTGACAAGGTCGCGGACGCGAGGAGAGGTCTTGAGTCTTGATGGAGAAGACTTTGCTAGATGCCGTCCATCTAACAAATGGGTCAGGAAGCCAGTACAGTAATCACTTTGGCGGGACGTCATAGCATTTAAAGTTTGCAATTGGAAGGCCTTGAAACATCCTGTGCAACATCAATCCCGGTTGCCTGACGCCAAAGGTGCTTGTCAGCCAAAGTGGACAGCAAGCAGTTCCGTGCAATGACATCCAATTCCTGTGCGGTGGATCGAGGTGGATCACTCAGTCCTCATCGCTACCCAGCGGTCTCAGGTCTAGAAACCAGTCGCCATCTAATTATGGTGGACTGAGATTAGATGGCAGAAGGGCCCCCAAGAGGTGGTTTGTATGGACCCCCATCTAAAGCACATCATGGTGTCTGTGCCATCTGCTCAGAAACAACTGTCTATATGTTCGGATGATTGTGAGTGGGTGGCGTGAGGTGATGATGATCGTTGTTCCTCAAACAGCAAGTCAAGCCTCGCCACAAAGAACAAGAACTGGGACATGATCCCAGGCCACAAAGGTGAATCACTAGTTACTCCAATTAAGCACGAGCAGTTGGCGGAACATGGCAACGACTCTCTGATCCGCCTGAAACATCAGCAGGCTTCGCTGCCAGGCTTGAGAAATGAAGAGGTTCATGGTGCTCACATGCACCTCCCAGCACTCTCAGGTGGATCGCTGAGTTTGCCGGGTCGAAGACCCCTGAGGGCACCCTAGAGTTGCATCGGAATCTTCCGTGACCACGGGTCATCGAGCTCAGGTGGGGCTGAAGATGTAAATCACATCCTTTCCAAGCCGCGACCGAACCAGGCATCACGGTTCAGGTGCCAAGGACCCGAACGATCCGAACATGGGACCAAGAGGTGAACTAACTAGACAAGGTCTACTAACAAGACAAGGGGGAATCACCAAGTTTGGGCCCATACTGCATACTGTGTTGCTGAGGTGTTTCAACAGAGTTACCAGTCTAGCTGGGGTTCCTGCCCGCTTGTTTATGTTGTTTTCGAGACAGTCATGGCACATGGGAGCAAAACATTGGGATCCTTGTGCTCCACACAGCTCTACCTGTACTATTCCGAACTATACTACACCCAAGACTTAACACCAAAGAGGGGATACACCACACAGGATACCTCTACACATGGAGAAGCGATTTGAAGGTCACTCATTGACAAATGACAAGAGCGCTTTACCATGCAAACAGCAAAAGCAAGTGACAAGTCAGAAGAAGTAAATGCGTGCTTAAGCTATTCATGATGTTCGTGTATGATCCAACATCGCGAGAAGTCTTTCTTGTGACCCAATCATCTCATGAAAAAAAAGGTGCAACACAAATCAAACATCATCAAAAGCAATGCCCTTCGGATTTGGAACTTCACACAAGTGAAAACCACCATTGCCCTGCTGTCGGCCCGTCGTCTTCAAAGGATGGCCTGCTGTCGGCATTGTTGGCTTTCCTGCAACAAGGTCTGCACCTCGATTAACGAAAACAATCACTTCCAAGGGGGATATCATATGCGATATATGGGTGTCATCCCTCTAGACCTTCTAAAGGCAACAAACATAGAAATATCTGGTGGACCTAAGGAGAACAATGTCAAGTAGCAGGATTATGTATTCAGCGAGGAGAACTCTTCCGGCATAAGATCAAGATCTTGCACTGGCACCATATCTTGAGCAAACAAAAAGTCAACACTCCAATATGGTCCTCATTTCGTCGGCCCTGTGGTGGTCAATGACATCCAAAGACTTCGCCACAGGAAACATGCAGCAAATGCTCAATGTGATGCCATTGAAAGAGCATACTGATCAAATGGAACCAGTTTTTGAATAGTGTCACCGGCTCCTGTTAGGCCAGGCCATCAAGCAAAAACATACAACACATGCAAACAACATTGTCTCTACTGGGGTCATCTGTTTCAAGAACTATACAATTACGTATTCAACCAGTATCTCTATATAACAACTGGCACCTAGAGCCTAGAGCTGGTTGACTGGCACAACCTGATTGACAACTTCTTAAACTTCGCGATCTCTGTTTCTTCGCACAATTTTGAGGAGTCCATAGCCACCAGTCTTCGCTCCACCCGTTCGCAACGGCTCAAGCGCAACGGCCTGCACTAGACCCAGGGCACCTGGATCCAAGTGATGTTGGAACTGGTTGAGTTGGCTCGAGGCCTGGCTTTCGCTTCATGACTGGCTGAGGTCGAGCGGTTCCCATCAAAAAGTGGAACAACAAACGTTCGCATCGCCTGTTATGATCAAACACCTCCACGGGGTGAGAAGGGGATTAAGCTGGCCTGGCCAAGTTCACTAGTCTAGCTAGCTGTAATATGGGTCCCATCTCCATAGGTCGAAATATAGCTATCCAACAATGCTGAAACTACGGGTATCCAACAATGCTGGAAGGACACCTAAGACCTGCCAAAAGTTCCTCAAAGCCAAACAAGGATACAAAAACATAGAGTGCACTATGCATCTCCACCTCCTTGTGAAGACATATGTGGCACTACCATATCTCCTGCTTTTCTCTGCTCTTGCAGCAAAACATGATACAAACCCTGCCAAAAAGCTATGACGCGTTCACACCGCCCTATCAAGCCTGGGCCCCAGAGCCAGGCCTTAGGACTCCAGGATGCTTGCCCAGCTTCTATGGAGTTGGGCGTCTTGAGTCTTATTACAATTGAATCAATCTCGGCAAGAAATTCCAATCTATTATCTATGGC